TCTCCTAGTTTGGAAATTATCCTTAATGACTAACTATTCCTTATTTTAATTTTATTATTAATGAACAAGTTTTTATCATTTGCTATTTCCAACACCCCGCATCAATTGCATTTCATATACAAATATCAGTTAGTGTACTCGCATGATCTTCGAATCAAACATCCTGATTATGTTCATGCGGTCTAAAAATAAGGCGTAATTATTAAATAATTTTCGTAATTATGTGATTTAAAAATAAAATATGATTTGTATGTGGCCTAAAAATTGCATGTCGCGATTTGTATACTCGCTATTTTATATTAAACATTGTTATTCATATTCATGCTATTTTAAAATTAAACTCAGTAATTTGTGTTCACACGGTTTTAAAATCAAACATCGCGATTCTTATTAATGTGATTTAAAAGTGAAACTAATTCCTCTTTACTCAATATTAACATTGCACAACATAATTTTTATTCTCACAATTTTATATCAAGCATTGCATTTCAAATTTCCGCAATTTAAACGCCACTATTGCGATTCATGTTTATGTGACTTAAAAGTTGAACATCAGGGTTCGTATTCAAGTTTAAAAACATTGCATATCATGATTCCTATTTACTGGATTTAAAATTAAAATGCGATTTGTATTCACAAAATTCAAAAATTACTCATCATGATTCATATTTACGTGATTTTAAAATCAAAGATCGCTATTTATATTCACTAGACTGGTCCAAAAAAACTTTTTTTTAAAATTTGCGGGTCTTAACCCTAAATACTTGTACACATGACTAAAGAAGCCCCCATGCAAAATTTCAGCTTATTTCAAGTACATTTAGAGGTAGCTCAAAGGCTTTAAAGTTTTTACTTTGAAACCTTAAAAAAAATAATTTCCATATTATCACTATTTATTATTTATTTACTTATGATTTGTATTCTCACAATTTAGAAATCAAATGTGAGGCATATTCACACAAATTCAAAATCAACCATTGTATTTCTTATTCACACAATTTAAGAGTCAAGCTTTGAGTTTCTTGTTCATGGGATTTATAATCAGAAATGTGATTTATGTTCATGCAATTTTAAAGTAAAACATCGTAATTCATGTTTATGATTGGTATTTTTGTGATTTAAATTTAAAACAACTTGATTCCTACTTACATGATTTGAAAATCTTCCTTATTTTGTCAAATTTTTGGATGTACCTTAATGTTTTTTTTTTTTTTTTTTTTTTTTAAATTTTCGTGAATTTTGTCTTTTTTGGTTTCTGAGCATTTTCATTCTTCAGATAAGCATAAAGTGTTCTATTTATAAAAACCAAACCGATTTTTTTCAGATAATTCAGTCATTGATACAAAATATAGAACACTAAACTATGTTAATAAATAGCAAATTTAGTAATCATAGTAAATTTAATATTTATTACCTTTTAAAATAAAAATATAACAGAATCAAAGAGTTAAAGGTTATGAAATATTAACAATTCTATTTTCCTAAGTATATTCTTTATAGATTTCATGCGACAATAGTGTTGAAGGTACTTTTCAAGATTTCTTCAAAAAGAAAAAAAGCAACTAATTTAGAATTTAAGTACAAGTGGTTTAAAAACTTTGATATTGTCGCTTTTAATTTTTCTGCTTCTAGATTTTCAAAGTAATTAAAGCTTTAGCTAATTTTATGTCTCAATAGCTAATGCAGCATTTGGAGTATTATTAGGAAGATAAAAAAACTTTTGTCTAGAAAAAAAAGAAGATATTTCCAAAGACCTATCTCAGGAAACTAATTCCTGAAAATAAAATTTTTTAGAGGGTGACAGACTTCAGTCATCCACTCAGCATGATGTATGGCACTCTAATGATATTTTATTTTGACCTCTGAAGAATATTTTTATTCACATGACAAATTTTATAACTATCTAACAAAATTATCATAATTCTTTATAATCTTCTCCAGGAAGATAAATTTTGGGTTTTGTAATGAGGAACCTATTTACTTTTTAATACGAAACTTAATGCAATTTTATGATGATAGGCACCAATTTCAGTTCAGTGGGTTTACTGGTTATTTTTTAATTAATATTTAAAATTGCTCGATTAGCCATGCCCCCAAAATGCAGTTAGTTTTGACATCTCGGCTAATGATGTCTGAATGAAAGGCCCAAAACGTTTCCCATCACTTTCCAATACAGTGAAAGCATATGCTGCATGCAGTAGAACATTGATAAAAATTCTCATAAATAACTCCAAGCACTTACAACAAGTATTGCTTTAAACCTTGTTGCAATAGCTTAATATTTAACACAATCTAAAATATTTTTAGTGCACCAAAAGGCGAAAAAATGACAGAATTGGTGCAAAGCCGTCAAACGTGATGAACATGCTTCATTCCCTACCTTAAATCACATCAGTACCATATCAATTTAGTAACAACAATAGCACTCTTGGAAAAATTCAATTAACATAGTAATATCAAATTTTAGTAACTGTCAAAGTTGCTTAGTTAAACATAATAAAAATTTACTTAAGTTTAAAAATTTATAGGCTGAATCCCAAAGCTAGCACGTTTCACATATTCAATTTTTAATAGTCTACTCTCAGTAAAAATATATAGCAAATTGTTATAGAAGCATTTAAATTAATGGAATCCTTTATGCTAAACATCATTTTTTTCACTAAGAATAATTATTAAATTCTCACTAATTTTCAATGTTTACAGCCACAGTTTTTCGCAAAAAAACTAGCATCTCTCTCAGAATAATTTGGTACATCATCAATAAATAATCTATTACCCATTGGTACATAAATAACTCCTGGCTGTTTATTTCACACATGAATTAAGAAAATTTATGTCATTAATTCATTACTCAATATCTGTCTATTACTTATTATGTCATTACTCAATATCTGTCATATAACCTTGTTATCTATTGAAAATGATCTAATCTTGTTTTCATAAAAATACATTTCCCACCATGTCAATATTAATTCTTAATTTAAAGAATTTTCACTAAGTTAATACCACTTAGACCTTCAAATAATATTTATTAATACACAAAATTTCACTATCTCGAAATTTTTTTTCAATCTTCAATTTATTTAGATTAAAGGGTAAGACAATTAATTTTCATTGAAAATACATTTGACGCAATATCCTAATAACTTTGAAAAACTGATTATGGTGTTTATTCCAAAACTGCAATACTAGCATTAATATAATTTGTCAAATTTATGTACTTATGATAACATAGTAATAAATACTAAAGTTTATCCAGAAGTAAATATCAAACTTCAAATTTAGAAATTCATTCTTAATTACTTCTAAACTTTCAATTCGTAAATTTAAGTTTCACTCGTATCTTCAAAACATTAATCTTTCAAATTTAATCTAGTAATAATTCAAAATTTTATTAGACTTTAAATTTATGCATATTTAATTAGAATTATATTCTAGTAAATGTTCAAAATACATAATTTTCCTTTAAAATTAAAAAATATCACATTTTTAAAAAATTCAAAAATACTTTTGCTATTCAAGATTTAAAAATTCAAAACGTTCAACAAACCCTATAGTGTTAAATATTTTTTACTTTCAAGAAATCTAGACTCAAATATAATTACTATTATTGCCTTTTAATCAATTAAAAAAGTGTCAATGTAAAGCACTAAAATATTTTTTTATATAAATTTAAGTTATTTGACAACTATGCAGGCTCAACCATATCTTAACTTGTTTATCAATAACTAAAAAAATCCATCCGATCTAGACAATATTTCACATTGCGTAGGCAATAACAATATTTATACACTTGACTAGTTAATCATTTTTACAGCAATTATTCCTATGAAAAATACTCAAGTTTTTAAATACAAAATTTAAACCTTCAAAAACTTGAAGTTTTATTTATAGATTAACTTTTAACAACTACATTCAACAGTAAACCTATCCTAACAATAGCTATCAATAACTATTACACACGCTAAATTTTAAAACTTTTGTAAGTTTAATTTTGATGCTAAAAGCGCCTCATAGTCACAAGTTAATATTTAAACTTCAAACTTTCAGTAATGATCTTAGAAACTTAATGAAACTTTAAATTTAGGAAGTTTAATTTAAATTATCATTACCAATTTATTATATTAAATGTTTTATTTAATCTCATAGTAATAATTCAAAATTTTAAATTTATGAAGTTCAATTTAAATTACTATAATTACAAACCAATTTTTTAAAAAAATAATTACTCTCTAATACAAGATAAAAATTTTGATAATCTTGTCATTACTATATGCAGAAAACTTCAAACAATTCTGCTGGTTTAATATACACTTCAAAATTTAAATTTCTCTACAGTATATCTACCCTATCAATACTATAATGAGAAAACACTTGCTTTTCAAAACGAATAAAAGTTTATTTTATTGTTCATATATATGTTTAGGTGAATGACCGAAATCAGTGGTTGTTGACTTTCGCCGGTGAATGTTGACACACAATCACATAGTCGCTTTGGTGAATGTCCGAAATATTTATTACATTCGATTTGATATGAATTTATTCGTGGATATAATTGCATTTATTCGATATTTTAACCCTACACTGATGTTTTTTTAAGGTTAAGTCCCACTGCCCGGTATACATTTGCTTGGCATACCCAACACTGATGTTTTTTTAAAGTCAAGTGCCATTGCCCGGTATATATTTGCCCGATACTCCAAACACTGATTTTTCTTCTAATCTATCGTCAGTAAGTATTAAAATATAGAATAAATATAAATATATCAAATAAATATAATAATATCAACGAATAAATTAATATAAAATTGGATATAACAAATATTTCGGACATTCACCAAAGCGACTATGTGATTGTTGACATTCACCGGTGAGAGTCGACATTCTCCAGATTTCGGTTATTCACCGTAACATATATATTACAACTACACAATTTAATTATAAAAATACCTTGACCGAAAATGAGAAAGCACTTTTGTTACTCAAACACAAATTAAAGTTTATTTCATTCCAGTTGCTGCTTCACATATCTACCATTCATCAACTAGAGTTTTCAAGAGAAAATTTCTTAGTCCAAATAGGCAAGCCGAGGAATCAGTTTTTTCAACTCAGCAAAAATGCGGGTATGTATCCGAGACCACAATTGTTCATACGGTTGACTGAATTTGACTACTCTGGAACCGGATGTTGAAAGCCACACAGATCCAGATAACCAGACAGTTCTTGAATGCAAATTAATTCCAGTTGAAAAAAGCGCATTCACTCAATTTTTGACGAACTTCAAAAATAAAAAATAGCAATCAATCAATCTGCATACATTACACAACTGGCCAAACTGTAAAGAAAACACGGCTCTCGAAATTCTTGAAGCAATAACAATCTGTCTATTTCTTTGATGATGGATTTGACAGCCAGCCGCCTTCACAGATTTCTGCATGGTTACGGGAAATCGAAACAAATACTCCCCGTTCGACATTTCTGTCGTCAGCTATTTGTATTTCTGTTTTGGCTTCACAACTGGTTCTTAAGGCTCCTGGGTTGAACTGGGCCTATAACCCTTGATGAACGTGTATGGGCCTCTTTTACCCGATAACATCATTAGGTATGTAGATAATAGAGTGAATTTGAAAGCAATGGGAAAACTCGGGGTAAAATACAGCTTCTTCAGAAACGTATATTTATTTGACGATTGTGTCACGTGAATAAAGTACAAATAATTTGATGAAAGAACAAGGTAACATACTAACACATTATTGAGTACTGTGCCGGAGCACAGACTCCTTTTCCAGAAAACTTACATTGCAGCTTTATCAAAACAAAGGGAGAGAGAAAGAAAGCCTGGTTAAATCTCGGCCTTTTAAACATCGAGTTTCGGCATTGTCAATCAATTACCAGTTACTGAGCATCTTGCATGAATTATTTTACAGGTTGATGAAGAGTTAAGTAGTAACTGACATCTCCCATGAGGAAAACATTGTCTCACGAGCGTGGTTTGTTACAACTTCTGTTGAATGCCCAACATTGAACTTCTATCACATCAACTCGTGACTTAACCAGAGATAAACAACGGGCATAGATTCGGCTGATTTGACACGATTGTCGATTATATTTCCAACAATTCAAAACACGATGCGTGATCTTTAATTGCATAAATAGGAATCACAATGTGTGATCTTAAACCATGAGAGTGTAATTCTAAATCATGTGCATTGGTAGGAAAAAGTGTGAAAATTATTTTTTTCTAGAGATGCATTTTTGGATTTCTGTTTTCAGATTTTTTGATTTTTCACTAAATTCATCTCTGTGGTATGAATAAATATAGGGTTCTATAAAAATTAAACATTTTTAAAAAAATCTGTGATTTTCAAATGAATTTCGCCAAAATGATGTGGTGGCGAAAGGGTTGAAACTAGTTACAAGAATCAATCAAAGTGTAAAGAAAGTTTTTTAGTTGAGATTTTGTGTTCGCAAAGAGGTTTTTATATTATCTAAGTCTGGTATTTGGCAATTTAGAAATGTTACTTCAAAAAATTATGTTAAATATAAAACAAGTTCAAATAATTATGTTAAATATGAAACAATTGTGGTACATAAATTGATATCGATTTTTGCACATAAAATTTTCAGGATTCATCACTTTGTCTCCCAATTATCCCTAAATATACTATTTCAGTTTAATGTACTGTATTAGATCACAGATGTTCAAACTCTACTTCTTTCACCAATTGACTCTTGAATGTAATTTGAAATGATAACTAAGAGAGATATTGTATCATTTTATTCTTTTCTATTTTTGATTTTTTTTTTTTAATATTCCTACACAAATATCATTAAACATTCAAGATAGAATTCAGAAATACCATTTTAACTCTGATCATTTTGTGACGAATTCCAAATTTTACTTTTTTTGACAATATTCTTCAAAATATTACACAGAACGAAGATATTTGCAAATTAGACAAGGCTACTAGCATTAAAGTAACCCTTTCTCAAAAGTTACATATACAAAAATTATTACTGCATTTTGTCTTCATATGGAAACAACAAATAAGATTTTTTTTAATAAAAAGGAGATTATTAATAAATTGGAATAATTTAATTCATACTGTCACATTTGACTTTTTTCATCATACTAAATCCATGTTCTAAGGTTTCTAAAAGATCCGTTTACAAAAGAGATAATACATCGGCAAAATCTTTTTATTATGACTATTTACTCACTTTGATCAATCTCTAATGTTTTTTTTTACCATTCTAGTAATAAATCTTATAAAATAAAGTATAAAGTAATAAAGTATAAAGTATCTATTTTACTTGAGCTATTTTTGGGTAGTTAACAAAATGTACGCGTTTTTTTCCAACTCTCTTTAAAAAATTGATTGTTTATCTAATAATGCATGTATCTTTTGGTCTTTTTGTTTTAGAAACAAGTTTCAGGCATAAAAGATGAATTAAAAACCATTATCTATAAAATGAGTCCTAATTTATGTTTCTACAAACACCCATTCAGATTTTATAGCAAGAAATGTACACATTTTTTAGAAAAAGTGATTTTTTCCCCTTCTAACTTCAGTGATTGGGAGCGGGGTCTAAATGTTAATTTTTTAAGTTGAAATTTTCCAGATATTAGTGTTAGTCATAATAGCACCTTTTTAAAGGTGTGTGAAAGATTCAATAAAAAAGTTTTTCCCAATGTTAATAAAAACCACCCGCATACACACGAATGTACTTTCTCTGAATGAACTTGCCTTTTTCAACGAATACAGATTTTTGACAGCCGAAATATAGGGGTAGCCGCAATCTGGGAAATATGGTCCCAATAGTTTGTTCTGAAGAGCATTTCAAAATTTGGACCCATTAATGTTAATTTTACTTATTGCGTATTTCACCATATCTGAAGAATTTTTAAGTTATTTGGAAAATTTATCTCTCAATTATAAATTTGCTTATCCAAAGATAATTCTATGCAAAATATAACTTTTAGTAAATATTTAAAGTATTTTATTTACTAACGTCGAAATAATTTTGAAATGTAAGGTATTAAGTTTTTTTCATCATATTAGAGAATGTAATTTTACATAGTAAAATATAAAATATGGGTTAAGTCAATCAAATAGTTCCTTAGAAATATGTTTTAAAATTCGATTTTCCAGGAATTAATCAACCGATTTCGCTCGAATTTTGTGCAGGGTATCCGCGCACCTGGAAAGTCATGAAAAATCATGTAACGTCATGAATTTCGGTATTGAACAAAATTTGTCATGAAATGTCATGATTTTAACTATTTTTTAAAAAAAATCATGAAAAGTCATATATTTAGGTAGACGAAAAAGCTAATTTTTAAAATTTCTTGGTGTTCCGAATATCTGAATATCAAAATCCCCACTCACAGTCATATTTGATTAAAATATAAAATGTTTTTATTGTGTTCTTTAAAAATTATGGTGCTCTTTCAAAAAATGAAAGAAAAAACATGATTTCTAGAGTGAATTATCTTTTAAACTTCTATGATTTAAGAATTTTTGTTATTATTTTTTTTATCAATTTAAAATTTTAGCTGAAGCAAGTCAGTCATTGGTGAATTCTTTTATTCGGAAATGAGAACAGAAAAATCAGGAGTATTTCTTTCCTTTCTGATGAACAAGAAAAGTATCTTTAGAATGTAATTCTGCAGAAAAAAAAGAAAAGAAAATTGCTTGCTTTTGTATTTTTTTCAGCTATTTTATTGCTTCAACTCTTTTTTTTACTCTGTTTTTAAATTTAAAATCTACAAATATGAAGGTGCAGAGTATAACAGTTTTGGTTATACCTATCATTTGAATGAATGTTATTATAATGCTTTTTTAAATTTATTGTTGTGTTTTTGTCGGAATTAATAGTAACTTCGTTAAGTCATGAAAAATTCTTGGAATTTGTCATGGAAAGTCATGAAAAGTCATAAATTAGAAAATCTAAAATGTAGCAGATACCCTGTTTGTATTATGCCATGTAAAAGTACATCCTTTAAAAGTATATAAAAAATTGTATACCTTACAATTCAAGTGTTTTCGACCATTATTGAATAAAATATTAAATATTTAATAAAGGTTATTTCTTGCATGGAATTATCTTTGGACAAACGAACTTCGATTTGTGTGAAAAAATTTTTCAATTCATAATAAGTTTTTGAAATAAAGCAAACAAACTACGTAAAAAGTAAAATTATCATTAAGGAATCCAAATTTTAGACTGCTCTTCTGACCAAATTATTGGAACCATATTTCCCAGATTGCAGCTACTCTCTANTTTCTTTCCTTTCTGATGAACAAGAAAAGTATCTTTAGAATGTAATTCTGCAGAAAGAAAAAAAATTTACTTGCTTTTGTATTTTTTTCAGCTATTTTATTGCTTCAACTCTTTTTTATACTCTGTTTTTAAATTTAAAATCTACAAATATGAAGGTGCAGAGTATAACAGTTTTGGTTATACCTATCATTTCAATGAATGTTATTATAATGCTTTTTTAAATTTAATGTTGTGTTTTTGTCGGAATTAATAGTAACTTCGTTAAGTCATGAAAAATTCTTGGAATTTGTCATGGAAAGTCATGAAAAGTCATAAATTAGAAAATCTAAAATGTAGCAGATACCCTGTTTGTATTATGCCATGTAAAAGTACATCCTTTAAAAGTATATAAAAAATTGTATACCTTACAATTCAAGTGTTTTCGACCATTATTGAATAAAATATTAAATATTTAATAAAGGTTATTTCTTGCATGGAATTATCTTTGGACAAACGAACTTCGATTTGTGTGAAAAAATTTTTCAATTCATAATAAGTTTTTGAAATAAAGCAAACAAACTACGTAAAAAGTAAAATTATCATTAAGGAATCCAAATTTTAGACTGCTCTTCTGACCAAATTATTGGAACCATATTTCCCAGATTGCAGCTACTCTCTATATTTTGGCTGTCAGAAATCTGAATCCGTCGAAAAAAAGGCATGTTTATTCAGAGAAAGTACGATTTTGTGTATCATTCGGTAACCTAAAATATCGTTTGCACGAATTAATTAGCATATTTGAGGGAGTTTTAGAACATAAAGATCTGATCATGAGATTAAAAGTTACTCAGGTGGTTTGTAGGACTGGGCTTTATACCGATGTAAGACAATATATCGATTTAACTCCAACATCGTAATACCGATTTATCCATTTCATCTTCAACAAAATTCCGGAGTGAGCATNTATATCGTCCAGCCCTAGTGGTTTGTTTATTTTTTTGTTCGCTTTATAGTAAATTGCTTGCCTCAACAATTCTAGTAAAAGAAAATTAAGAAGATAAGTATGGTTTATTTATAGAACTATTTGTAATATTTCATGCTTCCAACATAAAATAGCGTTTAATAATGGGTAAAAAAAATTTCTTTCACTCATTGTTAACTGCAAAACTTAATTTTTATAGAATTTATAGTAAATATTTTTATGAATTTTTTCTGCTACCACCAGTTGCTTAACAACATTGAAAATACTAATTTGTTTCCTTTGAAGTGTAATCAAAAGCTGCACACAATTTAAACTTTTTATTATTTCAGAAAACTCCTGCGAAAATTCCTAAAGTGGTCACTACCAAGAAAGTTCCTACTGAAATTCTCTCTTTTTCACTAGATTCAAGTGACAATTCTCCTAAAAATGTTGAATATGTAGTTGGGAAGACATGGTTAAAAGAACTTAAAAAAGAGTTTAGTGCAGACTATTTCAAAAAGGTATATTTCTTGCTTTTAACTTAATCAGACACAGGTTTATGTCAAATAATTTTTTTTAAAACCAACTTTTTTCTCTTTTAATAACTGTTTTAAAAGTTAATATTTTATTTTTTATATAAATAGTTTTAGTTTAAATAGTACCTAATGAAAAAGTAATAGATTTTCTTATAAATGTTTTCCCCTTTTAAATTTAAATACTATTGGGAATCTACATTCATAATTCATCAGGCTTCTCCTAAGGAGGATCTCTTTAGCAATCCTCTCCTAGTCTTCGACTACCTTTCAGTCAACGAACTCGTGGATCTTGTCTGACTCCGTCAGACAGTCAGGATAAGCAACAACAACAACATTTCTTTAAATAAACATAAATTCAGTAAAACCTCCATTAAGCGGACATTCTAGGGACGGAAAAAACTGTCCGTTTAGGAGAGTTGTCCGCTTACAGGAAGGGTACCCTAATAACGAAGTTTAACGCTGTTAATTGTTTTTAGAATATTTTCAAAGATGTAGAAATAATTTAATTTACAATAACTATCTACAAGGATATTTCTTTAAGCTTTAAGAAAGAGAAAAAAGAGTAAACGAAGAAGTTTCATATAAATACATAATTCTAAATGTAGTTACAGATAAATTAATATAATTTTCCTATTAGCACAGATACTCAAGTCAGACATATGATATTGAATAGGAGATTTCAGTCATCAGTCGGTTTCAATTTATAGGTAAATATAAAGTGTAACATCCCCTTATACCTACCTATCATTGGATGGGGAACATGATTGATACCTTCTTGAAAGTAAACCTCCCACGATTCACAGTCATTCCCAGCTAAGTTATGAGGACCTATGATCAGCTATCAAGTGTCTGAATAAGTGTTTCATTTATATGAACACATCAAAGATTATATTTCTGTTCTCTTTTTTACTCCAGCTGTGTTAAATACAGTCCTCAAATTGATAAGAAAATTTAAAAAAATTTCAATGGTGAAGAAGCATTGTGAGCTTTTAAGATGTCATTTTAACTTAAGGGGTCTTATAACCTGTNAAAAAACTGTCCGTTTAGGAGAGTTGTCCTCTTACGGGAAGGGTACCCTAATAACGAAGTTTAATGCTGTTAATTGTTTTTAGAATATTTTCAAAGATGTAGAAATAATTTAATTTACAATAACTATCTACAAGGATATTTCTTTAAGCTTTAAGAAAGAGAAAAAAGAGTAAATGAAGAAGTTTCATATAAATACATAAAAATTTAGAAAAATTTAGTCCGGTTTAAAGAGATGAAAAATTACGTTTCAGTGACAAAATGACTGTCCGCGTCCGGTTACGGGAGTGTCCGCTTTGCGGAGAATGTACATAATGGTTAATTCATAGGAGATTACCGGGGAATTAAAAATATGTCCGTATTGAGAGGCGTCCGTTTTGCAGTAGTGTCCATAACAGGAGGTTTCACTGTATATAATTTTTAAATAGCTTTCCTTCAAAAATATCTATGAAAATGAATTTATGCTTGCAAAATATTCTAAAAATGCTTAAACTAATTTACAGCATCACCAAAACTCTTTTCTGATTATTTTTAAAATTAGTTAAATGATGTAAATTTTGAACAAGTGAAAATAAAATGTAAGATAAACTTTTTTGAAACTCATGCTGAGCATGTTTGAGTATAGTCACTGAGAGTGTGGATAGAGGAAGAAGGAAGCGTTGTGCATAGTAGTTGCTATTTGAAAATGTGCCAAAATTTCTTTTTCATGGGTTTTGTTGGATTCTGTTGTTTTGTCGTGTAACTACCACTACGATTATTAAACATCAATTCACTGGTATATAAGACATGCTAACTTGATTCAATCATGGGGTACCTTTTTATAGATGAAGGTTGGCATTGTCAATAACAACTCACCCTCCACATTGGTGACTTGCAGACGTAAAATAAACACGCCTATCTTGACAGTAACGCCCACTTCGATCTGGTAATGCCTACTTTAATGGATGGTCCACATTGAACAGTTGACTTGCTACTTGTGATTGCGACATTATCCACCTCCTCGTGCTGTTGCTGCTCAATCTCGTCTCGATCACGTCAGCCTGTATACACTCGACTGCTAAAGGCAACACCGGAGCGACTATGACCTTGAAGTTAATACACCTCTCACATTCAGCACTCAAAAAACCCAGTGACCTTAATCCAGCTCTCCCGATCTTTCACAAGTACAGCAACCAGTGGTATCCGTTCATTGAATTCTATTCCTGATAAAATCCTGGTGGGGGAGTATTGTGGAGTAACTACCACTACGATTATTAAACATCAATTCACTGGTATATAAGACATGCTAACTTGATTCAATCATGAGTTACCTTTCGATAGATGAAGGTTGGCATTGTCAATAACTGCTCCCCCCACAGTTTTATTAAATAAATTACTTATTTAATAAATTACATTAAATACTAACTAAACTAAACTCAGCGGCGCGACAGCCCTAGAGGGCCAAGGCCTACTGTGCCCATCTCAGTTTTCTTGACCTTGGGACATTAAATACTAAATTACATTTCATTCACTAAGAATTTTTAAATAATTTTTTTCATGAATTAAGTGAAGAATTTGTAAAACTTGATATAAACATGGAATTTGTAGATGATCGTATTGTTACAAATTAATGTGGTAGTCTGCTCAAGTGTGCTAGTGCCATCATCACGAAATATTTTTTAAAGAAATAATACAGTTAATTTTTGATTTCATTTTAGTTAGATTTAATGATTCTACTTTTCTTAATATAAAATATGTCAATTATGTAAAATGTAAAAAATCAAAATTGTAAACTTTTTTTTTTGCAATCGTATATTTCATTCATAATTTTTTTTTTAAATATGAAATTGGTTCCTGTAATTTATTATATTATACAAATGTTTTTCTTATTCTTGTATATGACTTCTCCAAAATGAATTTCACTCCTTGAAAAAAATCTCAGCTATATCTTTGACTATATTATATGAATTGTAATTTTACTTGAATGTGAGACTAATAATGTAAGATCAGAAATTTAGTCATTTTAAGGTAAATGACATATGCCATATGTTTTCCTCAGAAGTGTAGATATTTCTGATCTTGAAATTGTAATTAATGATGTAATTTAGTAATTAAAAGTTGCATTCATTATTTATAGCGGTGTACTTTCTTAGGCTTCTGTTATTTTATTAAAGGAAGAGATAAACAGATATTTTTTGTTCAGTATTTAAATTTGATTTACTATTTTGGAATTTTCTTAGATATTTTGCATATGTTGCATGTTGAGAGGTATTATGTATGTTGGTAATTTCAGTCAGAAAAAATTCTCAGTCTTGGCATTTTTTCTAATTTACACCCACGATCAAGGTTTGTAACTCTTCTCTCTGGTTTAAACCTACCCTCAAAAGGTTTAACATAGATCAAACTGAACTAGATCTTCCTTAAACTTCGTTTCTGCAATGCAGCTTGGTTTAACTTCGGGGTTTAGACCAGGTTTAAAGTTAAACTTTGTTCTGACAATTCAGTTCTCAAGGTTTAGGTTAAAAGAATCAAGGTTTTTCATTTTGTTCTAAAATCTGTGCATTAATTGCAAATAATACCTTTGTGGTATTCCATGTCAGTATAATGACACTTTCACTTTGCGAAGATTTCATCCTAAATTCACATGGTATTTTGATGTTTATTTACAGCACTTGAAGCTAATGATTTCTACATAGTTAATCACGTATGATGGTTTTTAATACAGTATTAGTTTGACAGACTTGATTCGCAATTATTTTTCAAAGGTTTTTCAGTTATTTTTTCTAGATTTTATTAAACTGAATTTCCAACTTTTTAAAATGCTGATACTTATATTATGATATTGTTTTTAAATACTTAGCTCTCGATGATCGTATTCCAAATTTATTCGGTTCAATTGATAGTTTTTTCAGATGTTATGAGCTATGGTTTTCCATGCAAGATAAACTCCTTAGAAATCATTAATTGTGCCACTAGTTGCAAAAGGTATTTCTCCTCAAATCTTGGAAATGTGTTTTTTGTTTACTTTTTTAAGATCTGAGTAAACTTTTCCACTAAACAGTAACATGAAAACTTGGCAAATCCTTCAAATTTACGTTTCACATGTGTTTGAAAATCACAATATGCTGCAAAACCACCCACTTTCATGTCCACTAAATAGCACTTGTTGTCATTGCATAGTTGTTTCTTGTTAATTAGCATTATGGTGTCTTATTTGTGACTGGACACAAAGATTCCAATTGAGGTTTCCCCCCCCCCAACTTTGGAAAAGTTGTGGAAACTGTGTTTCCTAATGAATCTTGAAAAAGAAAAGTGATTCTTCCTCATGGAAAAGAAACAAAATTAAGGTTCTGAAGTGTGTACTATGCAGTTTATTTAGTTTTGTATTTTTTTAAGCACAGTTTTACTTATCTTCCAAAATGTAAGTAGAAATTTTCACAGATAAATGTAATTTTGTTGTGAAAGAGAACTTTATTTTTTTCTGTATAAAAATAAACTTTAATCAGTCAGATATCTTCCATTCTGTACTGTGACCTTTTGCCATCTTTCTGTTAACTTCATGATCCCACACTCATGGAACTTCTAATCCTTATCAGCAAAAAACTCAACCATGTATGATTTGAGGTCATCTTCACTGAAATTTTCACCATTTAAAAGGTTTTGTAAACTTCAAAATAAATGATAATCTAATGGTGCAAAGTAAGGGCTTCACGGGTAGTTGCAAGTTGCAGATGAATCGTTTTCCACCATAACAATTCAAGACCTCTCACATCTTTAGCAACAAATATAAAATTATTAGATCTTGGTTGGGAAGTGATATCGCAACCACATTTAGACCAACTCTTGCCCCATAGAATTATCATGTATTTCGAAGTATAGAAATTTTTTTATGGTAAAAATTCCAGTAATAACAATGACTTTAAATTGCTCTTGGTTGAGTTTTTTTTCAGATGAGGACCAGAAGTTACCAGAAAGATGGCGAAGGGTCATCGAATAGCATGGAAGATATTTGACTGATTAAAGTTTATTTTTTGTACGGAAGAAATTAAGTTTTTTTTTAATACTAATTAACCGAAATTATTTTCTTGCCAACCCAATAACAGAACTGTCTGTATTAACTTCCATTCTCCTATTTAAAAATGTATTTTTTTTTTTTTTTAAATTTTTCTTAACTTGTAGAATTTTCTTATTTTTTTTGCCAAGGTTTTGACAGTGTCTTTGACTTTCCAGTTTTTTTTCTGTTGGTGTCATCTATTTGATTTTTATCAATATTATTTATCACATATTAATGAATTGCTAGAATTTTACAATTCTATGTCAAAAATAAGATTATGATGCTTAAGTTTTGAACACTTCTTCGTAAAAAAAAATTTAAAAATTTGTTTTCAAATTTCTTTTTATTTTAATCCAATTTAAGGGTATACATTTTTATTTTCTATACTTTGAAATGCCTATTCTTGCAATTTTAAAAATTGTAATAAGTGGTTCACATGTGCCAGTGTGTAAAAGTTAATTCCTTTCACAAAATATTTTATTGTTACTCAGAATGATAACAGTAAATCTTCATTATGTGTTAATGTGTATCATGCTAGTAAATGACACTAAGACGATGCCCTTGGAGTAAAGAGAGGGTGCTCTAAAAATTGTACCAAGAAGTATGACCTCATACACTTAGGTAAAAATTAAAATATTTAATGTTAGCACATTAAATAATTTTATGTTATTACTTTTTTTTTCATTGAAATAAATATACATCTAACTATTAATGTTGATATGCTCATAAATGTCATAAAAAACATTGCTAAGTTTTAAAAATAAAATTTTTCATATAAACTGTAACATGTGTTTTGTTTTTGAACTACTAACACATGTTTATGTAATATAATATGACAAGTGATAAGGGGGAAAAGGGTAACGTGTGACCAAGGGGAGAAAATATATTGTAAAAAAGTGTGACATCATTTATGGATGGCCCATTACATTAAATATATTTATTTTTATAGTTGAGTGAGTTTTTGATCAAGCAGAAATTGCAGCATACAGTTTATCCTCCTACTTGTGATATCTTTTCATGGACAACTTCAGTAACAATATATGATGTAAGTAATTTCGAATCTATGCTATGTATATAAGTATGATATATCTTTCTATGATTCTTCTAAATTTAGGTCAATACTTACATGTAAGCAATTAAATTAATATTCATTTTTATTACATTGAATTAGATTAGTGGTTATTAAAGTGGTACTTTAGTGACCTTTAAAATAAATAATGCCACTGTCATTGATATAGTTAAAAGTCTTTGTTTTAGTTAACTGTCTTGTTGTAACAGTTATCTTTTACATATTTTTTGATACATACTCTATGACTAGCATACTAAATAACAAATTTGTATTACAAGTTTTTATGGACTGTTTGACTGTCTCAAACTTAGTCAAAATATTAAATTTTGATGTTTTATAAACAAAAGAATTTTTTTGTTGTTAAAAATTGATACTTTTGTTTGAAATGTTTGCTATTTCATGAGAAACAATAAATTTCAAAAACAGTGCCAGACACCAAAATTTCTTCTCTTCCTCTAATGAATGCAAACAATGATGACACAGTATGCTGCATAAGCAGCATTGCTTTCAATAATTTGTTTTATAAATGTCTTAAAAATCAATTATAGTCCTATGCTTTAAATTGGGGAGTACATATTTTTATAATTTATTATTAGTGAGATCCTCCATTTTAGTTTTAAGAAGAAGTGCACTACACTCTTAAAATCTCAGGAATAATATTTGTTTTGAGTAAAGCAAATTATTTTTTTTCTTTTCTTTTTTTAAAATCAGGTGAAAGTTGTTATATTAGGCCAAGATCCTTATATCAGACCTGAACAAGCACATGGTAAGAAAAATCATGACTTTCACTTATCTTATTACCCTTGTGAAATATTTGTTTATAGAATGTATATTTTCATTTTACTATTAGGACTAGCTTTTAGTGTTCGCAGAGGTGTTGAAATTCCAAAGAGGTAAATTTTGCTATATTACTATTATTATAGAGTTATATTAAGTATAGTAATTTTCTGTGTATTATCCACAATGATGTATAATCTATAGGGGGCGAACAGAAATTGTAGTCCTGAAGCAAAAGATAAAATTTAATTGGATAATCCGCAGCTTCTGCAGCAATTTGTTTAACGATAGAAAAATAACGAATTCCAAATCTCCTCCTCCCACCAGCAAAATCTACTATATTTGTTTATGTAATGTATATTTTCATTTTACTATTAGGACTAGCTTTTAGTATTCGTAAAGGTGTTGATATTTTAAAGAGTTATTTTAAGTATAGTGATTTTCTGTGTATTATCTGCAATGGTGTATAATCTGTAGAGGTGGGCAGAAATTGTAGTCCTGTGAAGCAAAAGATAAAATTTAAGTGGATAATCTGCAGATTATACAGTGGTTTGTTTAACGCTAGAAAAATAATAAATTTCAAAACCCCTCCCACCAGCAAAATCTACATATGCAAGCGAATCTAGGTCATATATGAGCCAACCGGCATAGGCAAGAAAACGGGTAAGCAGGCTTGTTATCATGTGCAAGGGGCATTTACTCAGGATGCTAAAAGATCATGCATGTGAGTTAAGAGATGTTGTGGAAAGAAAGGTTTGAAGAGTTTTTCATGGGTAAATATATTTCACCAAAAAACTTGCTCGTATCTCTGAATTTGAATGTGCAAATTTTTTGCATGCAGTGCAAATGTTTCCTTACACTTTAATGGCTGACGAAAGTTGCTAGAAACTTAGCAATGTCTGATGCCCAGAAAATAATTTAGCAGATTATTTGCATTATTTGTTTAATTTTTTATCAGCTAATCTGCAGATTATATGCAAGGTATCCGCTCACCTGGAAAGTCATGAATTTCTGTGTTGAACAAAATTTATCATTAAATGTTATAATTTTTACTATTTTTTTAAAAAAAATCATGGAAAGTCATGGATTTAGGCCTCCGAAAAATCTAATTTTTAAAATGGAATCCCCTCCCCCTCTTTAATCTTGTTCCAAATATCTGAATTCCTAACAAAATCACCACTCAGTCATATTTTATTAGAATATAGTCATATTTTATTAGAATATAAAATGATTTTATCATGTTCTTTTAAAATTATGGTGTTCTTTCAAAAAATGAAAGAAAAAACATCATTTCTAGAGCAAATTATCTTTTAAACTTCTGTGATTTAAGAATTTTTATTATAATTTTTTTTTTAATTTTTTCAATTCTAGTTGAAGCAAACCAGTAATTGGCGAATTTTTTTTATTCCGAAATGAGAACAGAAAAATCAGGAGTATTTCTTTCCTTTCTGATGAACAAGAAAAGTATCTTTAGAATATATTTCTGCAGAAAAAAATTTATTTTTTGCTTTCATATTTTTTTCAGCTATATTATTGTTTCAACTCTTTCTTTACTCAGTTTTTTAAATTTAAAATCTATAAATATGAAGATGCAGAGTATAGCAGTTTTGGTTATACCTATCATTTCAATTAATGTTGTTATGATGCTTTCTTAAATTTATTGTTGCGTTTTTGTCTGAGAAAATAGTAACTTCGTTAAGTCATGAAAAATTCTTGGAATAAGTTATGGAAAATCATGAAAAGTCATGAATTTGAAAATCTAAAATGTAGCAGATGCCCTGTATGTGCTTCAAATTACAGTGCGTTTAATTTTTATTTATTTATTTTTTTTATTTTAGCTTAGCAAATATGTACACTGAACTAGCTAAAAATATCAAGAATTTTGTTCCTCCTAATCATGGTTGTTTAAATGGCTGGGCCAATCAAGGTGAACATAGATAAGTAATTAATAATAATTTATGTATACCATTCTTACTATTAGTTTAATGCATCGTAATATCTTTCCAGGTGTTTTGCTCTTGAATACCTGCTTGACTGTTCAAGCTGGAATATCAGATTCTCACAAAGGACAGGGTTGGGAATTATTTACGGATGCTGTCATCAAGTGGATCAATGAAAATCTCAAGCATGTTGTATTTATGCTATGGGGAAATAATGCTAAAAAAAAGAGTGAACTGATAAATAAGGTGAGTATTTGCTTAATTATTTTAAATTGTGTTTTTGATTTAAATAGGGGGTGATTCATAATTAAGTATACAGTTTCCAGATGCTATATGGCAGAGGTGCACAACCTTTTTGAGAGAAGGGCCACTTGCACAGCAGGTTGACTAACGAAAGGCCACACATCTATTTAGACATGTTGACTACAAATGTAATAATATTTATTTTAACGTTAGTGTTCTAATTTTTTTTTATCAGTTAGTTTAGTAATATATTTCTAGAAAATTAAAGGTGCTCAATTATTAGAATCCATTCAAAAATAAAAAACTAATCCTTTATTTTTTAAATTTCCCTTTTTATCTTATCAAAAATAGATTTATCAAAAAAAAAAACAAATAAGTAAAATAAATAAATGAACATTGGAGAAAATAAATGATTTTTTTTAATGATATCACACAATACGAAAATTAATTTTAAAATAAAGTTTAAACAGAAGCTTAATATAAAAACAAAGCTCTAATAGTTCAAAATAAAATTCAATACTTATTTGGTAATATACTTAATTATTTCTTTTTATTGATTATTATATTTTTTTACATAGTAAACATTTTCTTTTTTTTTACTGAAAAAGATCACTAACAAAAAAAAAATTGGAAATCAACATAACAATTGGAAATCAACAGTTTAAAAATTCACATTTTCTGCAACTTTGAGAATTTTTCAGGTTGTAATAACATTGTATTTAAATTAGGGATGTAACGAGTGTTTGGCCCCTTTGTCAAAAATTCAGTTGGTCGAGTGAGCAGCCAAATATCCAGCAGAGTACTTATTAGAAAAGTATTATTTTTTTTTGAATTTGTATAGATATGATAAAGAATAATATAAAATCGTATTTTTAACAATATTATTGTTTCTAATAAGAAATAATTTTTACTCAAATTTGTTAAATTTTAGAATCCATGTTTCAGCACATGGCTTGCAAATTTATCTTCTAGAGGACAAATGGAAAATTTGAAGAATTGAAACTAGATTACTTTATACTGAACCACAAGCACTTCTTTGCACTTCTGCTTTTTATTTAAAAAAAAAAATTCAATTCAAACTAGTCAATTCTGTCATTTTTTCGATACTTTTAATTCTATGAATTAAGAAAGATTTTTATTTTTGCTTAAATTGAGATTTTCAGTATAAGATTTTCATTTAAAAAATTAAGAACGTTTTTGTTTAGCTTTTTTTTCACCTTCTCTTTTTATAGATGTTTTTATTAAAACACATCAATTTTTTAGAGCATTTCTCTTAGACTATTTTCTTGACTTTTTCTGATAATTGGAAAGCTGAGATGTTCAGCTTTAAAATTTTTTTCAAAAATTAAGATTGATTTTTATTTTCACTGTTTTGTTTCTCTGTATCTTTAGTTTTTATGATAGCACGGCATTTTCAAAAGCGTTTCTGATAGGCCTTAATTTTAAGCGTTGTTTTATGAATACTTTTTTTCCAGAAAATATTATTCTTAGCATTGTAGTTTTGGTTTCAGTGTTGCTATGCTCTGCTAAAAATTGTTGATCTTTGGCCCCGAATATACAGTATTCAGTCTATTATTATTTTTTCTCGAATATTCGGTATTTGACCAAATCACAATTCATTACTACATTCAACCAAATCACATTCATTGCCATATGTGTCAATAAAAGTTCATGTGTAGTAATAACATCTTAGTTAAACACCGGAATCGTCAAAATAATGTGGAAAAGTATAACTATAATTGAAAAAATTTACCATGTCAATTTTCGCCGTGGATTATGCAAAAGTGTGTTTTTCACATTGTTCTATTAAACATTTTCTCAATTCATTCAACCACAATCCATTTCGGCTTAACATTGGTCCGTAACGTATGATAGCACCAATCATGGTACATGTTTGATGAAATACTTGGGAGTCCACATGTGTGTCTACTGAGCTGGATTCGGTGAGATTCTTGCACTCTCATGTGCAACTCTGCTGTCTTTTGCAAGATATTCTCAATTTTAGGCCTCATTTTCCACCCTCTGAAATCGAACCCAAAAATCTCTCTAGGGTGGCTAATACAATCAAGAAAAGAGTTCTTTGTCAGAAACTAGTTATTTTATAATCATGTAAAGTCTTTGAAAATTATTTTGCATTTTGTTAATGTATATAGTGTTTAAAAATGTTTTTTGAGTGCTTGAAAAGTACTTTAAAGGTGCTTATTTTTTGCTGAGATTTGGCTATGCACCCTATAGAAAGTCTCTTTAAGTGCTTTCCAACGGATAATATAATCTATGCTAATCTCAGTTGTAGCAACTGGTGTTTCATGCTGTCATTCAATGAGGAGGCCCTCGTCATCAAACAACACAAAAAAGAAATATGAAAATATACAAAAAATAAACAATAGAGCTTGCAAAATTGTAATAAAACAATCACAAAACATGAAAAATATTAAGCAGTTAATGGTTTTATAAAGTGCTGTAGATGACCAACTGTAGATGTAGTCACACTGGAATTTTTATGTTGTCCAAGTTTCTGCACTTCATATCCATCATTGGCTTTCACAGTCACATTTTTATAAAGTCCATGAAATTTAGGTCTCAATTTCAAACCAGTTTATGAAACATACGTTGCATTTCGGATTGCGAGTCATAACCTTGTGATATGTAATTTACGCGATCTTCATGTAATGTGATTTATGTGTAACATATCACGATTTGTATACATACAATTTAAAAACTAGGCATAGTGAATTGCATTCACAAAGTTTACAAAAAATCGTGTTTTGCAATCTACGATCAATTAAAAAATAGTTTGGTAAATCTTAATTTGCTATCTGTCAAAATATTGTACTACAAAAGATTTTATTATGTCCAAAATACATTATCGATATTTTGAGGAAATAAAACGATTTTGTTTTAAAAATTGAAACAGATATGCTAAATATTGTTTTTCAATTAATTTTAATATGCTTCATAAAATTTTTCATGAAAAGTTATACTGGTGCCAGTATTTAAAAGTTGGCAAATATTGTAATGTCAGTTTGAAATTTTTGTTTATCTTCAAATTGATTTAAACCACAATATAACTATCCAACCATTTGCATTAGTAGTTGTGGGCTACACATATTACAAGATCCCCATGGTGCTTGAAAAAACCTTGAAAGTCCTTGAATTTAGTTGAATGAAAACAGGGCTCTCAAAAGTCCTTGAATTCTGCCATAGGGTACTTAAAAAGTACTTGATTTTTTAGGATTTAAAATAATAGTAATCTTTCTTACAAAAAAGCAGTAAAAAAATAAATAAATTCGAAGGAAAATTATAGAAATTCTGATAGAGGCAATTTTTAATGCTTGAAGTGAAAAGGGGTTAAAGAAGATGCAAAACTTTTCTCTCCTAGATTTTTCACACCAGGTTATTGTTCATCTCTCTGATATTTTGAAAGCTGAAATTTCTAGCAAATTTTAGGTTTTGTAGTCATAGTTTTTGAACGATATAGTTTTTAATTGATTTAGAAATATGTTCAATGTGTTAACTTCATTATTATGACTGGTTAATATTGTTATCCTATTTGTTCTTTTAATTTATGTACGAAGGATAATTAATTTTTTATCATTTATAACCAAATTTTTACATTTAGTTTTTGCTGCTAATAAATACAATTTAGTTCCACGGGTTTCATTGATTATGAATAAACATCGTGATTCACATTAAACTGGATTTACCAATTGAAATTCATATAAAATGTTCTACGAATTGCGATTTCAATGAAAGTGATTAATAAATCACATATCGAATATTGCTTTAAAGTGATTTTCAAATTACTCATCAGGATTCGTATTAAGATATTTTATAAATCACACATCATTATTTCAATTAAAGTTATTTCTGAATCATAAAAAGTGATACGTATTTAAGTAATTTCAAAATCATGCCTCACAATTCTGATTCTAGTAGTTTACAAATCACGCATTGCAATCCACAAAAGAGAGATTTAAGAATTAACACTCTCATCAAAATAATTTACGAATCACACATAGCTGTTCTATATTAAGCACCTTTCGAATCACAAATTGCATCATAATGTAATTCCATGTAATTCTATTCACATGAAAACTATTACATAANATGAAAATAAAATCTCCCGCAAAATGCGGGAGAGTTGGCAGGTATGTATATATATATATAATGATGACATAAAGAAAATGTATGATTAAAAATATATTTCTAATGTTTTTTAGAAAAAGCATTTAGTATTGACTGCTGCACATCCATCACCTCTGTCTGCACACCGTGGATTTTTTGGCTGCAATCACTTTTTTAAAGCTAACGAATATTTACAAGAGCATGGCAGAGGAGAAATTGATTGGACATATTTGCCATAAAAGGTTGGACTTATTCATTATCATTACTGCCTACCTAAAAAGGTTTCTATATATCATTTTGCAACTCTGTTCTCTTTTTTGTTTTCTTTAAATGTTTGTCATCAAAAAAAGATTTTCAACAATTTTTTCATTTGTAAAGGTTTTTGTGATCACATATAGTTGATTTTTTTAGTCAATAAATTCTATATTTTTCCTGATGCTGTTTTAGTTTTAAATGCTTTTTAAATTTTGTTTTTTATGTTTTATTAATGATTTCTCATTACAAACCCAAAAAAGTAGAAATATTCTAATAATTATTCCAGGGTTCAGAAGGACCTGAAATATCTAAAAATATTAGGAAAAAACAAGATTGAGAAAACAAGATTGAAGAAAACAAGACCAAAGACGCAATTTTTCACTATATCAAATCATGAGAGAAATGCAGACTTTCCCCGCTTATGTTCGTGCAAATTTTAAAAAAATACATAATAAAAAGCTGAATTGCTTCACTGTTCTACATAAAACAGTATTACAATACATGAGCTGGAGAATTGTTTATTAATTTACTTACTAAAAGCATAACATAAGTGCGTTTAAGGCACATTCTCACGCGCATTTGGAATATGTACCAGATGAACCAATCAGCAAGTTGCTTTTCATTTTTTAATTTGACTCATGCTTGTTTTAAAAACAAGCATACCTAAATGTGCTGATGCTAATGATTAGTTAATGAAAAAATTCCTATGGATTTTCTCACTTTTTGTGGAAAAATTACTGTGAAAGTGCCGATTTTTGGTAGAATTACTGAAAATGTTGATGTTCTGATAGATTTTTTATTTTGGTGCTGATTATTTTAGGTTAATTTTTGTGAAGGTACTAAGAAACAGTAGCGAAATTAATCTGTATTAGTCTCTGTTCACTGTACTTTATGTCAATATAATAAAGTATAAATAAATTTTTTTAATTGGAATACCAAAACGTCTAAAATACAACTATTTTTCATTCAATAATTAAGTTGGAACACAGTATAAAACCTTCCACCCTGTTTCCAGAGAACCGGAAAAAACTTTGCTCCATTTCCCCACCATTTTGATCTAGAACGACTAAGTCATCCTTGAAGCTGAGTAGAGGGAAAAGGGGGATTCTTTTTCTCCCTGTTCAATCAAACTTAAAGCAGTAGCAGACTTAGATAAAATGAAGTGAACCCAGAATTTATTAAAAGTGTTTTAATTTCTAAATAAGCCACAATTTAATAAGCTGTGCCGAAAGCTTATGAATTAAATCCTGTGACTTGACCTAAAATCGATATCCATAACAGTGAGTTTACCAACTAAATGCGAAAAAACAACCCTCCGCTAAGAAAACCAACCGCTGTCTATCCAATTCTCAATACTTGAAAGTCTAATGAAATGGTATAATCGCAAGGAAAGTGTGGCTGCACAAAGCAGGGAAAGGAATTTTCCTCAAATCAGCCTGCCAGATTGCCTACCCTTTTTTATTATTTTTCTTTTATTTATCTTTTTTTTTTCATTTTTTAAAACAAAATCAACATCTCGTTAACAAAATGAGCAAAATCAGCTAATAAAAAGTGGTAGGAAAATTTAAAAAAAATTACAATGCTATGCTTTATTATACAAATACAGTAGGAAACCGATTATCCGGAATGATCGGGACCATCGCTATTCCGGATAATTGATTTTTCCGGTTTTCTGAATTGCTACAAAAAACCGTTTTTGTTATTGTTAAACCCAACTAAAAAAAAAGTATTTGGAAATAATCTTAAAAAGAAGAAAAAACGATGAAGTATTACACTCTTCTTTTCAAAATGATGGTACGGTAAACATCTTTCAAAAAAGAAAGAAATATCCTAAAATCTTCTGAGGAAAAATTTTTTTTTTATTTTTAAAATGGCGTGAAAATTTATCGAATTTCGTTCCGGTTTTCTGGTTTCCAGATAACGGGTTCTGTACTGTAGTATAATAAAGTAAAAGAGTGAAGTTAAAATACAAATTTTTAATTAGAATACTAAAACAGCTTAAGTGAGTCGAATTTTTTAATTCAATATTAAGTATTGAATATAGTTAAGCTGTATTGAATAATTTTTTAGCGATCCAGGAAATCAAGAAATTCACTGATTTGAGATAGTGATGGTCTACACCATTCCGGATAATTGGTGCTCTACTGTACTTCAGAGTAAAATCCTAGAAAAAAACATGGCTGAGGGTTAATTCTATATTATGAGCGATTCTTGAATTTAGGCACAATTTTTTATTTAACAAAAATAATTGAAGCTTTTAAACATGAATTACTTAAGTTTATATAGGACAGACCAAACATGCACTTAAATTCTGATTAAAAGAGCATATTAATTATATTAGAAACCAGAAATTTCTTGATTCATCTATTGCACAACATTGTTAGCTTGAAAAACAGAAATCGGGGTTGGTACTCACTGGGAAGTGTCAGAGAAAATGAGATTCAACAAAAAAGTCAGGGAATGACATAATTTTACCCCAAAACCTGGAATTGTCGCAAGAACTTTTCAACCTATCGAATCTCGCAAATAACCAGATACTTTACGCTTTTGTCAACGGTTAAGCATTTTGATATTAAAAAAATATATTCAATTTAATTGACAAATAAACAATCAATTGGTAGAATATTGACAGGGTTGAGAAACCAGAAAAAGTCAAGGAGTGTGGAAATTGTCCAAAAAATCCAAGGAAAAGTTAGGGAATTTAAACAATTTTGATCTGTAAAAGTGAGGGAGTTTGATTTCACAAGCTCCAAACATGCAATCTTTGTTCTAGTAGAACACATTTCCTACGCAAAATGTTCGTTTTGACCCATTTTGCATTGAGCCAAATTTCACAGAATCTTAGCATGCCAAGTTGCTTGACATGTTGGTGACTTAAGAAACTTTCTACTGGAAAAGGCTTTTTGGTTGCTAGAATCCGCAACAGATAGAAGGATGGATGGACATCAAATTTCATTCATATTTTTGATTAAGAAATTTATTAGGATAAAAGTGTTTCATAATCTCTTATAAGATATTACAGTAATTTCTGGTAGATATGCTGAACCTGCAAAAAGCACTGATAAGAATTTCAATTATCATCATATAGGCTGCACCACTGTAAATGCCCTACTTTCGTTTTTTTTTTTCACTAACATATGTCACTAGATTCACTCAATTGTATTGATAAGAAGTACTATATTTAAATCTGGTTACAACTCGCTTTCCAAATACATAATTAAAGTTTGAAATTAAATAAAAGTTGTTCACAGTTAAAAGAAATAAAGTACTGTTTATTTACTCTATGTAATGAAAAGCTATGTCTTTTGACATTCCCGGCCAGTACGTCACTTCCAATCATGTACCATATCTAGGTCATCATTTACCTTATCTTTTACATAGGCTCGAAAGAGAGTATCACCCAAAAAAATCTCACTCCCTCTTACATATACAATTTCAAATTAATATTTTATCCACTTTAGAAGCATCCTTTGTTGTCTTGAAGATATAGCATACATTGGCTTTTTAACAATACTTGTTAAGGATTTATGATCACTCTGAACTACTAACTTTTTACCATACACGAAATTATACTTTTGTACTGCGAAAACAATCGCCAACATATGAGCATAATTCTGCTCAGTCTTGGTGAAACTTCTAGATGCATAACACACTGGGTGACCCTCTTGAATAAGACATGTTCCAATCCCATCTTTTTAACTATTACATTATATTACACACATTGTATTACATTAAATCTGCACCCCGCAAGATAGTTTCTGAACGCATTAAAAAAAATTTTTCTTAGAAAATAAAAGATGTTGAAAATTTTGAATTGCAAATTTGAGTCTTCACTCTTTAATTCGTTCAATCTGCACAGATTCCATTGTAAGTCTATTTCATTTCTCGATAGCCTTTTCTATGATTATTGCAAAGAAATTCCGCATGATTAAAAAAAAAATTTTTTTTTTGATACAATATTACGATACCTGAATTTCGAATTTGAGTAATCACTTTCCATGTATCTAAACATTTACGTTTATATAAAAATTATCATATTTGCCACCAACTTGACTGAATGGATCATGGTATATGACAATTAAGTCATTAACAAAATTTTAGTCATATTTTTGTTCTTATTTAGGTAACTATTTTCCTAGTTTTTGGCTACTATTTTCATGTTTTAGGCTACTAAAAGCAACTATTTTGTTCTTTTTTTTCTGTGGCAACCCTGTTACTTTCATAAACTGAAACTAAATACTTAACATTTTTAAAAAAATTGCATTTCTTTTAAGATAAGTGAAATATTTTATTTTAAGATAGCAGAAAAATTATTTATTTAAATTGTATTAACTGCATAAATATCTAGCAATAAGATATAATATTATTTTACAATTTTATGGTTACTTTTTTAACTACTCATTTTTACAGGTATGCAACTCTTACTAATTTTATCTGGATAAAACTGACTTACATGAGTGTGACATACATTTTTTACCCTTATGTACTCATGCATGTAAATATTCAATGATATTGTAAAATACTGATTAATCTCTCCTCAAATTTTGAAGAAATCCTTTGAGGCCGCGAATCAAGGGCACCGAAAGAAATAAAATCGATTATATTTCATAAGACCTAAATATTATTGAATTTAATTATCTAAATAAGAATTGATTAAACAAAGTTTTTTAATTCTCTAGTAATACTTATTTTTATTTTTTTTAAAAAAAGTTTATAGTTACATAATTCAAATGCACACATTTAGTGTGTTAAAGTATTTGATAATTTTTTTGACAAATTTGATTCTTCTGCTCATAATTGTCTAAAAATCAAAGTAAATATTTGTTTTCTCTTTTATATTTATTCTTTAATAAATACTTTTGTTTTAAAATACCTTTCTTCTTGATTTAGAATATTTTATATTTGAATTGTATGATTTTCAAAAACCTACTTTCCAGTAAAATTTGAAAGTAAAAAAAAAAGTATTTTAATGGCATTAAAAATTATAATTTTCAAAATAGAGATGTAATCTTAGTTTCATTACTGATGGAGTCAAGGAACCTATTACAATTGTTCCTTCCCATTGCCCCTCTTGTGTGAAGCAGTAATATCATATTTATTAGTTTCAATGACTAATTTTAATTTGGAGCAGCAATTTTCAACATTTGTAGGAACAATTTTGAAAGTATTTAGAGCATTAAT